ACATCTCTTGACATAATTGTGAAGAAGGTGGAAGGCACAGCTGTATGCGAGGCAATCGATGAAGCCATGGAGGACTACAGTGGCAGTTTTCCAACGCACAACCCCAGCGAGCGATGACAATAAATGTGAATCCGATCGCAAAGTAGCGGCAAGTTTAAATTCTCTTATCACCTACGTTCATCACCGTATATTACTCAAAGGGGGTCAGCACAGTGCCTTTGCTACTCCCACAGCCTACAGTGCCGAAATGCGGAATGGAAACGCCCATGGGAGGTCGTAGAGAGTATTCAAGACTCTCCTTTACAATGTGGTCACTGTGGATTAAAGGACCCAAACAAGGTGGGGCTCCTTCTCAACGTCCGTGACAATCACCGCTCCTCCGCAAGAGCAGCCACATTCAAGTGGAAGCACAACCCAAACGGTGCTGTACTGTATGTCAGAAGGTCGTTGGCAGTGCTGGAGGAAGGGCTCCGCCATAAAACACAATCTTCCTGGTGGACTAACCAAAGTAACACGAGAAGTACATCACACTTCTTCCAGCGAGAGACGGTGGACTGCCCACCTCCGCCTCATGCTGCAGTGAAGAAGGAAGCGCACAAAACATCCATGCCGATATCTCCACAGCATTGGATCAGAGCCACTAACAACACACCATAGAAGCCCCGATAAAGCTAGAGATTCAACCTATCAGCGCACCTCAGCAGCGGAAGGCAGTGTCATGCATGGGATGCTTGAAATAATTCACACATAGGCCCGGCCACGTCACACTGCATGAGGTTCCATGAGGGAAAAGGAACACCTACAACTCGGAAACGCCGGACGCCACTGAATGATACTCCGGTATATGTAACCCTCGCCAACTCTGCCTGCCCGGCATGCGGGCCCCCAATCCCACACCAAACACGGGATTACAAGGCACCGCAGGGTCAGACATGGATTCAGGCCGGACACCGTGAGGTCGAGCCCACGAGCACCGTGCGAAGAGACGAGCCTGCACTTGATACACTTCCCTGGCCTCACGAGTCTCCAATGCCACCTTGCTATGGAGGGGGCCAATATGGAGAAGCCATGCGTCACAACAACCTTTCCTCAACACCCTTCTTACAAAGGGAATGCTTTGTTCTCAACGCTCTTCCCCGATGGAACGGATGCTTGCCACGCAGAATCCGACGTAATCCATTTCCCTCTAATCTTCGCTCTTAATCGGTTTTTGTCGCGGTCACTGATACAACACGCCACCCATCTGTACTGCTTTACCCATGAAGGGCAAGTAGGCCTACGGAACCCCGGATGAGGGGGCATCAGTCGCCCAAATCCCTCACCGCGCGTTTTGATAATAGAATGGTTCACCACAACGTACAACACAATCACATATTGGCCGCACCACGAACAAAACAACTACAAACCATCCCCCTATAAACAAAGAGCCTTCCTCCCATAGAAACCCTTAAACAATGATTAACAGGTTCTACAACGGTAGCTGATGGGGCAGGATTATCAGACAAACTCGTGAAAACACGCTAATGAAACAACACCTTGATCCCGACGAAGGAGCGGCTCACGGCGCACGCGCTGCCACCTGGGAGTAGGGCTGCCATCTAGGCGGCAAGACTGACTGGTAACGTAACTGTGTGCGTCCTCCTGTGACTGCCCTGCAGCTTGTCCCGCTGCTGTGGGCGAGACGCCTTTGATGACGGAGGTGTATAACTGGTCTGATATCGTTGTGCTCTGTGTCTTCTTGTTGCTTCCCTGCTGTGCTTCTGCTAGGAAGGCATTATCGGTGTACCAATCTATATCCCACATGGTGGATGCGATGCCGCAACTGGCAGCCGTACCCACGCGTGAGACTCGTCGTTGGGGGACGTGCGACGGGAGCACACGATGGACAGGCGGTGTGAGTACTCTCTCGGTGGTGCGTGCAGCAATAGCCTGTCTAGTTTTGTTGTGCTACGGTGTTGACGGCGCGATGCCGGAGGAAGGCGGGGAGCAGGAGGTTGTGAAGATTCTGGAGCTTCGAGTCCCCTCTTTACCATTGCCTCCTTCGCTTCTTCACGCCGTTAATGCCGGATTCAATGCGTCGCTGTGGTCACGTAACTATACAGTGGCGAATGGCTTGCGTGTGAAGAGGATTGTGAAGGATATGGAGGTCCATGGCGGTGTTGAGGCGATTAACGAAGCAATGGAGGAACACGACGACATTCTTCTTGTGCAGGGACGAATTGGCGATGAAGCTTTACACCATTTGCTTCCTGCGCTTGAAGAACACAACCTGGTATCATTTGCTCCGCTCACTGGATCTAGCATGGTGCGGAATTGGAATCCTCACCTCTACTTTGTGCGTGCTGATCCCGCTGCTGAGCTGCTGGCCCTCCTCCGCTACGCCGTGAACGAACTTAGGATGTGGCGGCTGGGATTCATGTACCTGCAGAACGTGTCGTTTGGGGATAGTGAGTACACCCACGCTACAGAGCTGCTAGATGACATTGATTACGAGCTGTGCTGTGTTTTCGCGCTGGAGAGCTCTCTGACTGGCTCTGCTGACGATGGTGTGTTCAATGCCACGTGGGAGGAGTTCGCGGCCACACGCCCGCAGGCTGTGATTGTGTTCGGTGCGCCTGTGAAGGACACCGCGAAGTTCGTTACGCGGATGCTGACGGACAAGCGCACCGCTGGCGCCTACCTCCTTGCACCATCCTTGATTCAGGGGTTGATTCTTTCAGAATGGCGGAAGGCTCTGGAGGGGGGTGTTCCCCTTATTCCCGGCCAGGTCATTGCCACAGGTACGAATCCACTTGCGAAGGACACGCGATATGAGGCAATCAAACGCTTCCAGAGTGTGATGCGTGACTACCTTAGTAATGAGAACACGGTGTACAATAGCACCGAGCACTTTCTGGAGGACGACAACGATGGTGAGACGATGGTTGCTGGTTGGATTGTCGGTGAGGTGCTCTGCAAGGCGCTGAGCAGCCGCGTGTGGGTGAGGGACAGGGAGTCCTTCAGACGTTCGCTCTATAACCAACGCCGGTATTTGATCGATGATCTTGTGATCGGTGACTACGGTGATGATTGCAGTGCTATTTCTTCTTCAGAGGGTGGCATCTGCCGTTGCAATCAGGGTGGGCGGACGGTCTACATGAAGCGGTTCGTGGAAGAGGACCGCACTGAGAAGGTTGTCGAAGGCATAATTACGTTTCCTCTCTCACAGTGCTACACGAACAGTACTAGTTTGCCTGTGCCGCTGAATGTAATAGCTTTCGAGATGACGGACAATCCCTTTGCGTCTGCCACACAGCAACAAATCACGTTCGGCGTACAAGCTGCCTTAAAGGCTCACTACACGAGTTGGCAGGAGCACTCCTTGACGCTAGAAGTCACTCGTGCAGCTGAGGCTGATGCACATGATGTACTGGCGCAGGAGCTAGGGGTGAGACGCATTCACGCAGTTACAGGTATCACCACGGACGCTCTGCTTGACTTTCCGAACCTGACGTTTATCGATGGCTTGCTTCTGAGATCACGGCGAAGCAAGTTTCGCCGGAACGTTATTCACCTGTCCCCGACACTGGAGCAGGAGTTCTTTGTGCTTGCGCAGTTCTTCGGCAGCACGAGACACGGCACCGCCCACGCTGTGATCCGCAGCAACGAGGGTGCTGCGATAGTGGATGTGTTGCGGAGGTCTCTTGTGACGTTTGGCGGATCGCTGCGGTCCTCTGCGCTTCTGGCTGGCGGTGACGCGCTGGGGGACTACCTGCCACACAAGGGCGATGTGTTCGTCGTGGGCCTTGCTGCTGCCGATGCTGCTGTGATCGCAGAGCACCTGGCGAAGAACCGCGGTGTGCGTGTGCTTGTGCTGTTCGCGGAGGTCTCCTTGTTCTACGATGAGTTTGTTGCTGCATTCAATGGGAGTGGGGTTGCTGAGCGCCTTGTGTTCGCGACGAGCCTGCCGCACTGGGCAGACATTAATACCACGTCTGAGACGGTTCAGCGGTTCCACGCTGCTGTGGAGGACACGGCGATGCGGAAGCCGTTGGCGCTGAGGTCGTTTGCCAGTACACTGCTTTTGGAAACCGTTCTTTCTCGTATGGACGTGACACAGTTTAGTGCGACCCTCTTGGCTGATTTCTTCTACAACCACATCGCTATTGCTGTGGGTGATATGCTTTATGGACCCTTCGAGGATGGAACGAAGTGTCTTGGTGAGACTCAGGCGGACGTCAAGGATTGCGCTAAGAACTACGGAGCGGCGCGTATTTCGGTGTGGTCTATGGCCCGCGTGCTGGACCCCGCAGTGCCTGAGCTGTTCCCCGCTGTGACGCCTTTAATGGTTTACAGAGAACACAACACTGAAGGACTGTCAAAGGATGAACTCATCGGCGTCATTATTGGCTCCATTTCCGGAGGTGTACTACTCGTTGCTCTGTTTGCGTCTTTCTGCTGCCGTGGGGACCCCCGTGACAACAACTACGCCCCGAAGGAGCCCACAGAGCCCGTGACGCTTGTGTTCACTGACATCGAGAGCAGCACTGCGCAGTGGTCTGCGTGCCCCGAGATCATGCCTGACGCNAACCCAACACTGAAGGACTATCAAAGAATGAACTCATCGGCGTCATTCTTGGCTCCATTTCCGGAGGTGTACTAATGGCTGCTCTGTTTGCGCTTTGCTGTTTCCGGACCTCCCGTGACAACAACAACGCCCCGAAGGAGCCCACAGACCCCGTGACGCTTGTGTTCACTGACATCGAGAGCAGCACTGCGC